ATTAAAAAGGGAGATTATAAAAATAAGAGCAGAGCTCAATGAAATTGAGACTAAAAAAGTTTAAAAATGAATAAATTAGAGAGATGGTTTTTTGAAAGAGTAAATAAAATAGATAAGCCCTTAGACTCATCAAGAGAAAGAGAAAAGACTTACATCAATGCAATTAGAAATTAAAAGTGAAATCACAGCATACATTGTCAAAATACAGAAGGTAGTACAGTAACTACTTTGAAAAATTATATTCCAAATTAGAAAATTTTGAAGTAGACAAATTTCTAGACACATATACTACCAAAACTAGCCCAAGAAGATATAAATATGCTTAACAACCCAATAACAAGCAATGAAATTGACACAGCAATAAAGAATCTACCAACTAAAGAGCCCAAGACTAGATGAATCCACTTCTAATTTTTGGGGGTCGGGTACCAGGGATCGAACTTGGGTCCTTGTGCCTGCAAGGCAGGCAGCAGAACCACTGAGCTAAATCCCTGGCCCATACTGCTAAATTTTATAAAACCTTTAAGGATGTTATTTCACCAATACTCCTCAAGTTCTTCAAACAAATTGAAATGGATGGAGTGCTCCCAAAATCAATTATGGAAGCCAGTATCACCCTGCTCCCAGAACCAGATAAAAACCCAACTAAAAAGTAAAGCCATAGTCTTAATGAACAAAGGTGAAAAAAATCCTCAACAAGATATTAGCAAATAGACTACAGCACATTATCAAAAAGACCATACATCATAATCAAGTAGGTATCATCCAGAGATGCAAGGATGGTTCAACATACATAAGTCAATTAATGTAATACATCACATAACAGGAACAAGGTAAAAAAACCAACCATGTGATCACATCAATAGATATAGAAAGGGATTTTGACAAAATTCAACACCCCTCATGAGTAAAACCCTGAAGAAATGAGGTTAAAAAAAAGACCATACCTGAATGAGATAAAAGCTATTTATGACAAATTAATAACTTGCATTATACTAAATGGGGAGAAACTAAAAGCATTCCTCATAAAATGAGAAACAAGACAAGGATGTCCACTATCACCTCTTCTATTCAACATAGTACTTGAGACATTAGCCAGAGCAATTAGGCAAGAAAAAGAAATAAAAGGAATGCATACAGGAAGAACTCAAGTTATTTGTAGATGACATGATACTCTACACAGAAGACCCAAACAACTCCACCAAAAAAAAAAAAAAAAAAAAAAAAACCTTTAGAATTAATATCCAACTTCATCAATGTATCAGGATACAAGATCAACACACAAAAATCATTAGCATTTGTGTACACTAGTTGATTAATTGGATGAAAAGAAAATTATGAAAATAATACCTTTCAGAGTAGCTTGAAGAAAAATGAAATGCCTAGGAATTAACCTAAGTAGTGAAAAAGTTCTATAAAAAAAAACTACAGTACACTGAGAAGGGAGATTGGAGAGGACATTGGAAATGGAAAGATTTCTCCAGCTCCTGGATAGGCAGAAAAAATGTTCAACATCTCTAGCCATCAGATAAATGCAAATTAAAACAAAACTAGGATTCCAGAAAGAATGGCAAGCATTAAAAAATCAAACAAAACAAATGCTGGCCAGGCTGTCATGAAAAAAACTTTCTTTCATTGTTGGTGAGAATGCGAACTAGTACAACCATGACAGAAATCAGTATGGAGATTTCTTAAAAAGCTGAAATTAGAAATTCCAGGTGACCCAGAGAGTCTCCTGCTAGGTGTCTTCCCCAGAGAGCTTGAGACATCAGACTACAGCAATGTGTGTATACCTATGTTTACAGCTGCACAGTTGGTAATACCTAAATCCTGAAAAAAGCTTATATACCCATCAACAGGTGATTGGATAAAGAAAATGTGGTATCTATTGATAATGGAATACTATTTGGCTATAAAGAATGATAGTTTTGAGACATTTGTAAGAAAATGCCTGAGTGAAATAAACCAGACACAGAAGCTTAAATATTGTATGGTCTCTCTCATTTGAGTGAGGCAAACTACAAACAAAGAGAATAATAAAAGGCGGCTAGAAGGGAATACGGGGATTTGTGCCCCAGTAGGGAAGTGGACCAAGGGAATAATGGGCAAGGGGTGAGGAGGAAGGGAAGGGAAATAAGTAGAATAAAGATATGCCATGTGTAAGAACATAATATCCTCCGTTAATATTAACATTACCTGCCACACCATGAGCTGTGATTAATAGTAACAACAGAATGAAAATTGCAATAGGGGAATTAGAAGAGGGAAGGAGGAGGAGGGAGGAGGAGGAAGAGATTTTTAAAAAAAGAAAGAAACAAGCTGTTGTATGCACATGTAACTACTCTCGGAGATGATTGCAAAGTGTGTGAACTACAAACATGTTAATAAAATAAAAACAAGAAAAGAGACCCCTTTCCCTTCCCCTCGGGCAGCTGTGAGGCCTTTCATAGGCCCACTCTCACCTGTACAGGGCGCTTATTTACCACCTTCAGTAAATGTACAGCCTCACTGCCTCTTCTGTGTGTCTTGTCGGCTTATTCAGCTGGCATTAATTCTGCACACTTAGAGTGGGGCCATGGTGGTCTCACCTACAGCCTGCCTGGGGACCTGGGCACAAATTCATCGGAAGGGTGGAGCCACCACAGAGAACCCTTAACTGGGCATGTGGGCAGCTACAGAGACCCCCGAGAGACACTTAAGCTGGTGCTCAGCTCCAGCCTGAAAGAGTTTCAGGCATGAGGCACCAGCCCATTTGAGCTGTAGCATGACTTGTGCTACGCAAAGCCCAGGCCTTGAGGGCCACTCCCGGTGCCCAGAAGGTGGGACAGAGAGCGACGGAAGACCACTCCAGGGATCTGAGACGGTGTTTTCTCTGTTGGAGTCTGGATTTACTTGGCTCTAGTTACTTCCTTTTCTTATTGATTTCCCTCTTTTGGAAAGGAACGTCTATCCTATGTTTGTCCCACGGTTATATTTTAAATTCAGATAAGTTGCTTCGATTTCACAGGCTCACAGCTGGAGGTAACTCACCTCAACATGAATCATGCCTTGAGTCTCACCCAGATCTCACTGGAAGAGACTTTTGGCTTCCCGGTGCGCGATTACATTGTGTAGCTCAGCATTTCCTAACCTCATTAAGCATCAAACCTCTCTTCTCATGTAATATTTATTAACTTTCCATGGAACCAGTGCTCTTAGGAGCCGACTCTGGGAAAGGCTGAGCACAGTTCACAGTTCACTGTGGAGGAGCACCTACTCACTTTTGGAGTTTGTGGCTCGCAGTGTAATGAGTGCCTCACTGGGCCAGAAAACCCAGCCCCTCAAATAAAAGGGTAAATCAAAGGCAGAGTAGTTATGAGTGTATATGTTCCTGCAAGCCTCCTGGCTCAAATCTTGGCCCTGCTGATGGACTTTTGTAACTTATTTAACCGCCCCGTTCCTCAGTTTCCCCACCTGTAAAATGGAAGTGGTCACAGTAGTTGGCTTGTAGGGCTGCCATGAGATCACACAAGTGGGAAGATGTGTAAAACTTTGAGTGTCCTTGGCCCCTGGTGGTTCCTGATGGCCAGGTCTCACCACCAACACATGTTACTATATTACAGCCCATGGAGAATCCACTTAATCCCTTCACAGTGCCTAGGAAGCACTGCCATTAACTTCAACACTGCTAAGAGTTAACCACTGTTTGAGACTACCTCATGCTGCAGCTGTTTGCTAGCTTCTGCTTAAGTGGAACTCCGAGGGGCCTCTGTGAATGCCCAGGGACAGAGGGTAATGCTCTGAGCAGCTCTGGGTGTGCTGTTCTGCCTCTACTATCCCTAGAGGAAGCAGCAATAGTCAGAAGCTACAGGAGGCTGGGTGCTTTTTTTTTTTTAAGTAAATTAAGTATTTTGCATAAATCCTGTAAATGAGTTTATATTTTATTCCCTACTACTGCTGCCATACAGAAAATAAACCAGGAAACACTTGTGGTGGGCTGAATCAATTACGTATCTTCAGCCAAATATTGGGAGAAATACATTTAGTAAAAAAGAATGTGGAATAGCCCTCTTTTTATATAACTGCAGAACACAGGACTTTATCTGTGTATTCTCTGACACTCTATACCCCTGAGGGCACCTCACCACAAGGGTTCTGCAGCTCACAGGGGCTCAATCTCCTGTAGTCAAAGAAAAATCAGCAGAGAGAAAGATCAGCAGAGAAAATGTGAGTCCTCATACTAAAGATCATGCTCATTAATAATGAACACTTATTTTCTTTCCTCCTCAAACACCTGAACTGGGGAGATTTCTCTTTGGCGGTCATTTAAGGGAGCCCTTTGTACTCTGCTCCTTCCCTCACTTGGAGGAGGACAAAGAGGACCATTCCTCCGCTTAGACTTACAGTCTGCCAGTCATGATGATACAGCGGAGAAGAGATGTAACTTCCAAACCTGCTAGATATAGAGATGTGAGTTTGTGTTCTCTAAAATTGAAGAATCAATTCTAAGAATGATGGAGGTTAAGAGTAGGAAAAATTTATTGAGGTAAAGAAAGCTTCTGTCTAAGAGAGACAGAAGGGGGACATTAGAGTGGGTTGCCCCCTCACCCCACTTCTCAAAGATGTTTTATACAGCAAAGCCTGAGGTGGGTACAAAGTGGGACAAAACTGTTAGACTCAGTGGAAAATTACAAGGTGGGCATGAGGTGGGACAAAACCATGACCAACCAATGAGATTATGAGTACAGTCACCCAGGTAATACTGATTAAATGGGGGTCAAGTGGGGAGCAAGTCACATAGCAAGCATACAAGGATTTTCAGTAAGGGTGGGGGTCAGAGATATTTCCTGCAAAGGGTCTGTTGAGACGTTGGCCCCCCACCCAGCTGATTGAAGCCTATTTAGAATACCGATCACTGCCATTCATCCCCAGGGGAAGCACAAAGGTGTACTAGTTTCTCTCCTTTTACAATTCTGGCCTTTAGTGAATGTGTCTTGATGTCCTCCATGTTGGTTCCTTGCTGTGTTGGCTCCTTTAGGGTGGCCCTGTCTAACTGCCTACAAGATATCTAATTAATTTACCTATCTATAATAATGGGGCCACGTCTTAACACAAGAGGTAGTTGGCATGACCTCCAAAGTGGCACTAAGCCAGCCACCTTACCCTCTCTCTAGTGCTGCCTGCTAAAAACTTCCTGGATGGGGAGGAGAACCAGGAGCCCTCCTGGGTTTTCCTGACCTGTCTGAAGATGCCCACCCCCCCCTTTCTGGAGACAGCCTCTGGGCCCCACTTTTCTTCCCCCTTGTCTCTGGAGCTCTCCAATCATAGATGCCTGTCTTGTGAGGTTAAGGCGGGGTCTTCCATGCAAGGGCTGTGAGGGGTCACCCAGAGTCAGCTCTACACACCCACTCTTGCCACACACAGGGTTCATGCTAGGGGTGAGGGGACAGCCATGCGGCCACAGATCCCAGCTGAGTCCTTTAGCTTCTGCCTTCCCAGGAGTTGCTGGTCCTTCATCCCCAGTGGATCATTTGGTTTCCATTAGACACCCCTGGTTTGAACACAGAGCACATTATGTGAAAGATCATCCACACCAAATTTTTGATGCTGACTTGGAAGAAAAATAATGAGAAGCAATGCGTCTTGTAAGCAACTTCAATGTTATCCATGAAGTACTCCAAGTCACAGACGTTTCACAGGATGAAGGTTCAGCTTCGGTGTCCAGAGCTGATCTGGGGGTAGAATTCCAGTGGGCAGGAAGGTCACTAGGGATAAAACCCCAAGGCCCAAGGTTTACAACATTCTGCACCTTCATTGGCTTTCCTTGCCCCCTTGTCCTCTGCTCCCCCTTTAGCTCTCCACAGCTTACCAGAAGAGTTGCCTGGGTCAGGGAAATCAGAACCTGTGCATAATAAATACAGACCCATATTTAAATATCATTTGCACTTCTCTTTCACCAAGAAGCAAAATTAAATTTGATGTTCAGTGACTTTAATAAGAAAGATTGCTATTGATGTGAGAAATGAATTTTGGGTAAAACATGTCTGGAACCCAGTCTTTGAAAATCTTTCCCAGGCTGGAAAATGATATTACAGAGAGGTAAATTAGGGAGCATGGCTTTCTCTCACAACCACATGATGAGATGCTGGCCTCAAAATCCACCCTGGGGGTTTAAACAGTGTGGCCTGGGTCACACGGGCTCATCCGTCACTGTTGGCTGCTGTTCCTCCTCCAGGGCCGTCTCTGGACAGCTGCGGACTTGCAGGCGTGGCTGTCAGGAGGCCAGGGCAAGGAGCCAGGCTGGAAGCAGCAAAGAGAAAACGATTGGAACGAGGTATTTACAGGAGAGTAGAGCACTTGGCTGCTTAAGTAATGGGAAAGAAGAGAACTGTGGCTGTGCGTATTTGCTTGGTTATTCTTGTTGCTTTCCTCTGCCTGCCCCTGTGTCAACTTTGCATTGCTCTTTGGACCATAGTCTTTGCTGTCCTTGTGTATCTCACAGAATTACTCAGCAAGAAGCAGGGCAGAAAGTGACACGCTGGCCAGGGCGCTGCCAGATCCCTTTGCCCGGCTTGGCAGACAGGACCCTGGCACGGAAGCCCGGCCGCGCTGCTGTGACACTGCAGAAAATGAATGGCTTGGAAGAGATGTCACCAGGAACTAACATTTGGGGATCTCGCAGACCCACACCCGGTCAAGGACTCACTCTCTACACTCTTCCTTCGCTCAGCAGGTACAGATCCAGGGCCCACTCTGCTGGGTTTCTTGGTGCTACAAACAGAGCAATGAACAACAGACACGAGTCCCTGGCCTTTCATCCTAGTTGTGGAGAGAGGAAGTAAACAAATCAGAAAATCGTATCATTTGGTGAGTGATAAATGTGACAAAGGAAAACGAAACAAGGGAAGGGACAGGAAGTGCCAGGTCCGAGTGAGGGCAGGGTGTTCTATTCCAGACCGGGTGAAGGGGAGCCCGTCCTGAGAAGGTGACGTTCAAACAGGGACTCTAGCCATGGTGCAGCCCATTCATTAACAAGCCCAAGCAAGGCACGCACATCTTCCAACCAGGTGTTTTAGGGCCTTGTTTGTGCCTTTTTTTAGATAGGTCTCCCTACCTCGCCCACACCGACCTCTAACACCTGGGAAATCCTCCTGCGAATCCTCCTGCCTTCATTTCCCCAGGAGCTCCAACTACAGGTGCTGGTCACTGTGTTGGGCTGAGTGCTTTGTCATTACATATGTACAGTCAGGTCTCCAGACATTGGAGGAAGGGTTTCAAGTATAAAACAGAAAAACAGGAGCCCAGAGGGAGAAGACTGGAAAAGAGAAAGACCCAATATGCTGCTTTTCCTTCCATTTCCATTCTTTCCTCCTTCCTTTGGATATAGACCTACCTAAAGGCACTTCGATATAGAGGCAAGAGGCTTCCCAGCCAGGGACTCCTTGGCTTAGCCCCTCCTGCAGACAGCTGGAGCCATGAGACCAACTTATAGCTATGGAACATATTATGGTTTAGCTCAAAGATGCTGCCCATTGTTGGGATCATGGGGGTCTGATACTCATCAGTGGACTAATCCATTAACGAGGTCATAGCTAAATGTGCTAATGGGAGGCGGGCCCTGCTCACAGGAGGTCAGTCACTGGGGTTGTGACCTGGAAGGGTGCATTCCCGCTCCCAGCTCCTCCCTTTTCACTCTACTTCCAGACCACCATGGGTTGAGGAGCTATCCTCTGCCATACTCTTCCACCATGACTTTTCTGCCTCGAAACCAGCCAACCATGGAGTGAACCTTCAGAAAACCATGATGCGAAATGAACCGCTTCTCCTTTAAGTTGTGGTGTCGGGTATTATACCCCAGTCACAGGAATGCCTTCTACTACAGGGCGTGAGGGAAGTGACATGTGTAAGTCCCAAATCCATTGTGATCTCACCGAGCAAATGCCAGCTGCTTGCTCTGGACGGTCCTGAGAGGGGGAAATGAGCTTCTAACAGGCTTTTACATCTTGGTGATAGTAGCTTCACCTGTATTCCAACTATGGGGGTCCCAGGAAATAGAATACCCAGCAGAGAGAGACAAAGGGATCCCCGGCATGGCGGTGAAGGAAAATGGAGCCCATACGGCCAGCTCTGCCTGAGACATGGAGCAGGTAAACCAACTGGAGCTGGTAAACTCCCAGGAAGCCGAGCCAGTGTAGGACTCAGAGCCAGCCCTCAGCTGCTCTTGTGGTTGTGGATCATGATTGTGGTAATAGAGCTATTTCCTTGCACAGCTAGGTTGAGTTTTTGCTGTTGCTATTCAAAAGTAAAATGTACTGGAATAAAACTGTAGGGAGAGGAATTAGAATATACACAACAGAGATGAACTTCTGGTCACCTGCGTGGAGGGGTAGGAAACTGTCGGAGGGGCACACAGGCCTCCAAAGTACTTTATCAAGAAGCTCAGACACTGTGTAGGTCTTTATTTCTGATCTTAGCAGACACATAGGCAAGTAGCACTGCACAGTGAAATCACTCTTTTATGTCTACATTTTGCCGTATTTCACTTTTTGGGTTTGTTTTGTTGAGACAGGGTCTCACTATGTAGTTCAGACTGGCCTCGAACTCAGTGATCCTCCTGCCTCCCAGGTACTGGGTTTATAAGCATTCACTAGCACATCTAGTCTTTTGTAGTTTAAAATAGACATAGGTACCTACGCAATTGGTGTGTTTGTGACAAAGTTTACTAGGAGTGGACCGAGAAAGGAAGGCTTTTAGTGCTATTTAGCTTTTGAACCGTACGCAATGTATTGCCTCACACTGGGTTTACAGGATGGCTAAGTCAAGATTCTTGCCTGTGGGATTTTCAGCATCTGGCAAGGGGCCAACACAGATGACTGAGTACACTGTAACCGGACCAGAGTTGTGACCTGCCTCACTGCTGGGTGCTTCCAGAGTTCCAGAAGGGGGAGCAACAGTCAGAAGGCAGGGAGAGGAGAGGGGAGATAAAGGGGAAAGAGGCTCTAAATCAGACCTTGAATCAGGAGGAATGTGAAAAGAGGAGGCGATATCAGGAGGAAGCAAGGACACAGAAGTGTGACAGGAAGTACAAGAAAGGGGTCCTGTCTGGACCAGAGGCTGTGCCTCATCTGTGGGGAGCATTCGTAGTAGTGTGGGGCAGTGTGGAACCTGCGCAGTCATCCACAGCGATCTTTCTTTTTTTAGTACTGGGGATCAAACTCAGGCCCTTGCGAAGCAGGCAGGCGGTGGAGCCAAATCCCCGGCCCCTGAGAGCAATCTTGATTGGAGGGAGTGGCCAGGGCCCACAGGGGGAAAATCTCAGAAACATGAGGGTATTATGTGGGTAATGGAAAGCTGGGACATAAAATGAAAATGATTATTACACACGAAACAGGGTGAAGCTAGTGCTGACGTGTTTGTCATTTTAGTAGGAAACTTAGAAAATATATCACTTATATTTAAACAGCGATGACACCACCTGTCTTTAATCATAATGGTAAGGACAAGCACAAAGCTTGAAGGCAGTGTATTTCATGTTAACATTATCCGTTAAAGTCTTGAGAATGTGGAACAAAGCTAGATATAAACCACACGTCATCTATAGATACTTCTTTATTAGAAAAGAAATTAACTGTCCTCACTAGAGACCACAGAAGGAAATTAATCTTGCCATTCTAGGACATACAATTAAACTTCATGGTAAGGGATTCTTAAATTTTCTAAGTATGTGGGAGATAAGAGGATCATGTTTTTCAAATTAAGCTTCTTTCTCAGATGTATTCCGGGGGTGGGGCTTCAAGTTTTCTATGATACTGTTTTCCATGTCTTTTTTTTTTTTTTTTAAACCAGGAATTGAACTCAGGACCTTGCACTTTTGAGACAGGCGTGGTGCACCTGAGCTAAATCCCCAGCTGTTTTCCCTTTCATGTGTTGTTTCTGGTAATCTAAATCATTAATACATGGCTTTCTTAGGTAACACTATTGCCTTGTGTCTGTATCTCACCCAAATCTCCACCCACAGGGCTCCAGCGAACACCAAGTGAAGATCAAGACTTAATTTTTATGTACACGTTCTTACGCTGGGTCCTCATATCCTCCACAGAATTGGAGAACATTGAACACAGGTCCCAAGCAGTGATTTTCAAGGCAGGGAAGGGAGTATGCGTGCAGTTTGAAAAAATATGTTCAGAATATTCATCACCACAAAAAGCCAGCTCAGCAGAGTGATTTTAGCTGGTGGGCTGAAAACCAACTTCAGACTCATCCCAGGGGGTGGGGGTGGCTAAACATGAGAAACACAGACTTAGATGTAGAAGCACTGGCATGTGGAGAACAGTTAATTAGGAACACGTGCTAGAGAGAAAGCCCATCTTTTGGAACTTGTCATGGTCTTCTGGAACCCACAGGGCCAATCCAGAAGAAACCCACAATAGTCCATTGACCTTTTTGGCAGGTGGTGAGGGGCAAGTTGGTCTACTTTTTGATTGTGAGGCAAAAGAAGAGAAACAGCTGGTTTTGTTCAAAATCCCATTGCCAGGAAGTGCTGTCATCCTTTTTGATGTCATCCAGCCCTCAGAGGGACAGCAGCACAAGGTCTGCCTTGCTAGGAAAGAAACACAGGATTGGATCTTCTTACAAGGTCAGCTGACTTTCCCCTCATCACCAGAGCGCTCACACACTTTGCCATCGATGGCCTTGGGGTGGAGCTGCCAGCCACGTAGGGACATCCCAGAATGCCGAAGATTCAAAGGAAGAAAGGCTTGTGAATAGCTGACGTTAGTGCCCACACCAAAAACACAGGGAGTTGGGGAGATTAGCTCCTTCCCCTCCCACTCTTCAGCTAATCCTACAGTGCTAAGCATTCTCCAGAATAGGAAACATTCAGAACCACTAATCGGGGTTTTGTTTATATTGTTTGTTTGCTTGTTGGGTTTGTTTGCTTGTTTTTTGAGACAGGGTCTCACTATGTAGTTCAGGCTGCCATCAAACTCACACTGATCCTCTTGCCTCAGCCTCTTGAGTGCTAGGATTACAGGTGTGCACCACCATGCCCAACTCTAATTGGGTTTTAGTGCTTTTGAACCTGGTGTGAGGCCAAAAAGTGAACAGACAGTGCTCTCCCTTGTGATGGTTGTGATTAGAAGATCTGTAATTGGCTACTGTTTTATATCCAAGATCTCAGTTGTATTTTTTCAAACATTTCTTTTCTTCTGTTGCTGTTCTGAGTAATCACCACAAATTATTCATGCCCCGGGGATAAATTACTAATTCTTGAGCAATAAAGCCCCTGAAAGAATATTTTGGTGAAAGAGCCACTCATTTCTCCATGACTGAAGAATCTCTCAAGTGTCTCTAAGTCAAAGGCAGCAGACTGGCCCCCTGTGAACGCCTACAGTGCAGCCCGCTGGAGAACTGTGAGGGGTGGCTCCTCCAACCCAGCAGCCGCCCAGGTGCTAAGGAGCCCATCACCCCCACGTTCTCCACTGAGCCCAAGATCTCCTTCAAGTCAGTGATTCTATCAATGGCCTTTGAGAAGCCCATTGGACAGGGCAGCTGTGCAATGAAGCCAAAGTGACCTCAATTTCACACACACAGAGAAGAAACGCAGGCTGCTTCTGCACACTCTGGCTCTGCTCATGTGTCTTCCGACTCTGCCTTCTCACTGTACTTTCCTCAACATGCCCTGGCTTTCCTTCTGCTCCCAGGATAGTCCTTACTCGTTGCTACACATGGTCCTGGCACAAGAAGCTCCAGCTTCACCTGCGCTTGGCCGTCTCCTTGTGAGCCAACCTCCCCTGAGAGAGGTCTACCCGCCGCCCGCTTCCTGGCCTGCTCCATCCCCTCATCCACCCCATATGTTCCAGGAATTACTGACCCACTTGTGACCTGCCCACCACCCAGGGTCTAAGTGCCAGCTTCCCCTTTGGCGCATCCCTGTATTGAGCTCAGTGTCTGGCACATGGGAAGTGCTTGATAAACATTGGCTGGTGAAGGCTGAGTAATGGTTTCTCACAATCCATCTTTTTGTGGAATGTGAAACTCATAAATTATTGATGTCACAGCTCTTCAGATCGCCCCCAAATCCTTCTTTCCCTCCCACAGTGTAATAAGAGCCAGCAGGGGAATTCCAGTCTCCCCTGCTACCCACCTGGAATCACTGCAGAGCACCAATCTGCTTCAGCCGGCTCTCCAGCTCCCCGTTTTGCTGCAAAGCCACCAGATCGTTGCACCCACCTATGCAGTCTTTACCGATAAACACCCGGGGTACCTACAGAAACAAACAAGCCAGCAATTAATTACTAGGAGATTAGAATGAGTCATAATTTATCCTTCCAAATGCGTCCTGTGACCCAAAGCTTTCCCAAGCACTTTCCAACTCTCCCTGCACATTCTCTTGGGACAGACATTCTTGTATTCTGAGTAAAATTATTCATTCAAGAAGGCTTGTAAGCCAGAATATCTTCCCAACTGAGTAGGCTGTGCCTTTGATTGTCCGACTTGTCAAAGGGATTTCAAAATTTCACTCTATGGCAGTGTGTTTCAGAGCAAGAAACCTTTTTTGGCTATAGCCAGAACACCTTAACTCATCCTGGTTTCCCTGTAGCTGGGACCACACCTGAGACCTTAAGCTGGGCGACCGACCAGGAGGGCATTTATTTCTAAGTGCAGTTTGAGAAGTATTTGCCCTGTCTCTGTATCTGATTAGTAGATCTACCATTCATGAAACATAGTGTTTCACTGTTTCTCTCTCTCCCTTTCTCTCTCCCCCTCTGTTGTTAAAGCATAGGTGAGCTGTATGCCCAACTAGGTGACCATGAAGTGTTATCTGGGTCTCCTTTAATCCCTGGTCCATTGTATGATGTTTAAATGCTGCCACCCTGGGACCAGGGACATTCATCTGGTATGGCCCGGGTGGGTGACCCAAGGCTATACTGACAAGGTCATTGTACTTGCCGAATAATGGCTTCCTGTCCAGTCACACTCCTCCTGTTAAGTACCCACACATTTTGGAGTCCAAGGCTTTTAGAATGCTGGGGGAGGAGAAAGTCTCCTCCCTGCACACTCAGGCAACTTCCAGGCCAATGGTGTCCCAGAGGATGATGGGTAATGAGGAAGTGCCCACCACATAGGCAGGCCCACAAGGAGCACACAGTAAGTACTACAGGGACAGGAAAAAAGGTCAGGGCATGGTGAGAATATTTTTCAAACCATTTGACTTTCCTCAGAAAGCATAATATTGTAATTCAAGTGAATTGTTTCAAAAGCAAGAAAGATGAGGTAAGGGGCTGAATTATTATAGATAAGTTCTTATAGTATTTTCATTAAGAAGAGGGGGTCCAATAGCAGTAGTCTTTAAAAATAAAAGCTAACACTAAAAATAAATACCATGTCACAATCCACAACTATTTCCTGTGCCCTGGGAATGGGAAAAGCTCCATAGGACTGCTTTCTGGCAAGTGCCTGGTGGCACCCCACTGGCCTCCGAAATCATTTTCATCAGTGGAGAAGAAAAAAAAGCTGTGGAAGAGGGAGGTGAGAAACCTAAAATTCCCCCAAGTCCTGGCCATTGCTTTAGAGGAAATAAGGTTCCCTCTGCCCACAGGCTTCTTGTCCCAGAAACACCTGGCTTAGGCTGTAACAGTTGACAGGATTCTCACGTAATTCTACTGCATAGCTCTTTCCGTTAAAGGTACTGCTTGATTAAATAAAAACTGTCTGAGCTTTAAACAAGGAAGCCACACATTCATTCCTGAGCATCTGTGTTTCCAAGGACCATGGGGCGATCCTCATGCCTGCCAGAGCTCCACACCTTTCTGCCTCGGCACAGTGTGTTGGCGAGATCGTCCAGGAGTGAGGCCTCTCCTTGTAGTTCTCCAACAGCATCCTGGAAGCATCCGGTTCAAACCCAGGTTTCTACCCTCCTTTCCCTCACTGATTTCTGATTCAGGAGGTCTGTGTAGGGGCTGAAAGAATTTACATTTCTAACAAATTACCAGGTGCGGCTGTTGCCCCTGAATCCCATTTTAACACTGGCTGCTGCCCCAGGATCATTATTCCTCCAGGGTAACTGAGGCTTTGAAGACTACAGCCCCAGACCTCTCCCCGACCCCAAGACAGTGATCAGGCTGTCCTGGGGTGGAGTCTGCGCTCACACCCCATCTGGCAAAGCACCTGACTGGCAAGGTCGCCTTCCCATCCACCTCCCCGGGCAGCCCGGAGGGCGGCAAAACCCATTTAAATTACATAGAGAACAGCATCTTCTGGGCTGCACAGGACAGTGTGGGGGCCCCCAGGAAGGATGCAGGACACAGAGGAGCTGATGACCGTGTCCACCCTCGCCCGCTGTCCAGAGAGGGAAGGGAACTATCACTAAGGCCTTCCTCTCCCAGAGCAGTTTTTCCCACCTCGAATTCAGACTACTCAAACCTGTTTCCCAACACATTCCAGTGCCACCTAAGCCTCAGTCTTTTCTTATAGTGCTATTATAGTAGGTTTCCTTTTTTTTTTTTTTTTTTTTTTTTTTT